CATAATGACGTAAGTGCACTGCCGCATAATATGACAAGTTTTACTTAAGTGAAAATTTACGAGAAAAGACTCATTTAATTTGTCATCCTTATGTCCTGTCTTATGACAGCAAATAATATTTCGTTTTTAGCGTTCCTGCGTCACCACATAACATTTTGCTCGCGCAGCCTTAGTATAGAAGTGATTTAATTGGTTGAATATATAGAATTGACATTATTATTAAGAAAAATTGGCAATACGTAGCCAAACAAATGTTTTAAAATTGGAAGTGATAATTATACGAAACATTATATATTCCCATTTTAATTTGTGTTATTTTTGTATAATATTTAGATCTATTGTTATAAATCCCAAATCTGACGTCGCGAGCATCATACCGCTGTTAGTCGAGAGATATGGAGTGCATATTCTAGCTGGCGAGCTTTATTCTCGACTCGATACTCTAGATGTGCAGTACAGTGAATATAGCGAGAGATCCTGGTTATAGTGTCAGTCCAGAGAGAGCTATAACAATTCCATGCGGGGCCTCGCTCAGCGGGACGAGCAATGGCAACAGTGCTTCTGTTTTGCTTCTGTTTATTGTCGAGTTTTATGACTACCCGTGTTACTGGGTGAAGGAATTAATCGTATACGCGGATGTGCATGTCATACGATTTCAACGAAAGGTACCACATTGATTATCGGCAGTTGTCAAGCTGACGGTCGCTTGGGTAACACTACACCAAACCGTAAACAGGTGCTCTACATGGCCTTCTCCCAGGTTGGTAGATTGACTAAACTTTCCGCTTCATGAATTTTACATTGTAGCTTCGACATTTCGTACCTATTTCGTGTAGTGATGTGCAATTATTTATACGTACGTGACTAGCATATCAGGGATGTAGGAAGCATGCATATTGTAGATATTAATAGAGTATGGGGCGCGTTGTAACACAACGAAATTAATCCGTGCACCACTAATACAGGTAATTGCGCGAGTTATAATTAGTGTGCGTGCGTGCGTAATTTCCTGTAAATACCGTTCAAGTGCTTCTCTGCAACACACAAGTACACCGCACGCACGCCGCTGTGCACAAACAACAAGACTAAAGAGTTTTAGTTCTTTTTTGTTTTTTCTTGTTTTGTTTGTTTGCTGTTGATTGTTCTTGTTCTTGTATGAACATTATACGATCCGCCCAAAACAAACACGACCCGAGGCACCAGAGCGGGGCTATTCTAGTCGCTGGAACAACACAAGACTCAAACTGCATGCAGTGCACCTTCGTACACACAGAGTTTGCACAAGACTTGCTGGCGTGCGGACACCGCAAGCACAAACTCTCGTCTTTCGCGAGTAACCTTCGCAAAATAAAAGCGTACGAGATTATACACCTAATATGCGAAAGAAATCTCTGGCTGGAGGAGAAAGTCCCTGACGGAAGCACGATGTATAGCTGGCTATAAATTCTTGTTGTTTGTGCACAGCGGTGTGCGTGCGGTGTACTTGCATGTGTGTTGCATAGGAGCATTTGAGCGGCATTTACAGGAAATTATCGGCAATAAAAGGCGAAAGAGAGTAGAGAAACATTAAGACTTTGGTAGTAAATACATTTCTTTACCCAATTTTTTTATTGAAACGTTCCAAGTGCCTGTGATTCTGAGCCACCTGCAGAGAGTGCAGACGGACGTCGGCACGGCGTGCACGATCAACTGGGGCGCGAACAACTCATATCTGAATTTTCATTAGGTCTCTCCACCTTTTGCATGGGTATTGCTCTAATGAAGAATAAACGTTTATTGGCGAATGAATCCAGTCAATCACACGTTTTATGCATATAGATGATAGATGCAGATATAGATGCAATAGATGAGATCAATGAGATGTATCTCTGTGCTCAAGCACTTTATGAAATTTCCAGCACCTAATTATGTTACCACACAAATTTTGAATTGATATGTAAAAATGGTATTTTGGATATTTCTCAACTATAACAAAGAGTGAGAAAGCAAAACTTTCGACACAAGTTAAAGGGACAGTAGCCTCTAGGATTTTACTGCATACAACTATACTTACTGTATAACAAATCGTCTATACCCACTTTTGTTACCAGATACCTAATTTTTATTATAATTAATTACACATCAACGCTACGAAATTTGAACGGCGCCATGACACCCGCGACCGTGCTGCCACTCCGAAAAAGTTGCGTATTTGACAATTTTTTTGCACGTTACAGACCGAGGGCTAATCACAAAAGTGCAATTATATTTATACCTAAATACTATTTAACCGATATTCATTTTAGGGCAAATTTATTCATATTATAACTGAAGCTATATGTCGTTTATAAGAGATTACAATCCTTTTGCTTTTAATTGAATAAATAAGAAACACCCTCGGTTTGTAGCCCTTGGCTGGAAAGTGGTTTTGCGCAACTTATCAGATCGTGCGCATTGAGTGGCGCCACCGTCGTTGTAATCAAACTGTAGTCGTTAGTTTCAAAACATTAAAAAAAAATATTTCTAATGGTGATTAAACCATGAAACTTTTTATGTAGCGTAATTATAACCTAAATTAGCTGAAAATAACCCTAGAACCTAGAGTAAACTCTCCCTTTAAGCACAGTATAAACCAAAAATGCGCGTCAGGAATTTTCTTCAAGCTTCATATTTACTTAGTGTCAATGATACTGTAGCTCACCACAAAAAAGGACACAAATGAGTGAGTAAGAAGAAGTCAGTTTTAATTGAGCAATCATCGACGTACATTATAGAAACGATTGCCATCTGTATATCGCAATAATAATTTATAAACCAAAATGAATCACAATTTGTGACCGTAGATGGCGCTATACCTGCTTTGTAGCGATGGCGTTTGAAATAAATAGGTTATGCTGCGTTCCGACATGTTTTGTAGAACTTTACTCTAATATAGACGTTTTATCGGCAGGGTGGAGAGGAAATACCAATTTTGCATTAAAGATATTGTCAATGAAATCTTGTAAAACGAACCAGACGAGTGTCACACCACAGACTGTTTGTGTCTATATAATATGCTATATAATTGTCAAACCCTACCTAATTTGCATAATTTTTTTTTAAATATCAAAACCCCTAGCCATTCACATACTAAAAATGAGCAAAATCCGTTAAACCTGAACTGACTAATGGCAATTCCCATTTTTGCCAAGGATAGGACGTTTAATATGGGAGCATAGCAGTAACGACTACACCCAATTTCAAACATGTTGGTCAAACGGTTCCTGAGTTATCGTTGACCGAAGCCAAATGTTGACGGACGGACGGACGGACGGACGGACGTACGTCGGACGACGACCCATGGCAATAGCTCAGCTTGACGATGTCAAGGTGAGCTAAAAATGGAAGAAAATTCTCTAAAATTTAAGTCACACGTTTGAATTGAAAAGTTTTGCAAATAAGGAAGCATAACACATAAAATACACTCAATAACAATCGCTGACGCGCTTTTTACAGCAATATGTCACCATTAAAACGAGTGTAAAATTAAATTATTCAGAGTTGTAATCACAGAGAATTTTTGAGTGAAATTCCGAGTTGAAATCAGCGTTTTTCTATTTTTCACAATGATCGACCGCCTGTGTGCAAAATGGGTGAACGTATGTGAAACATCTACTGTTAGTACTTACTGTGACATATCCATGACTAACTGACACCACTAAATTGGTAAAATGTGGCTATGCACCTTGAGAAATTGTGAGAAATTAAGAGGTTACTATCGCACTTTCATGCAAAACGCGCGCACGATGTGTACTGCATGCCGTGTATGCCGTGATATATGCTATGTGTCAACAAACGCGCGCCTGAATGCAGGGTGTGTAACAAGGGAAATAGCACTATTTTGGGACGTGGGGCAATTTCAACTATCAGTGGTAGATGACAGCTGTAGGAGGCATACAACAGTAAGCCTCCGCAAATTGTTCACTATTTGGTCTCTAGAAAAGGCATTTTTTGGCTCTTTTTTTCAGTGAAATTCGTCACTAGAGTCAGTGCACTCTTTTGCATTATGCACGCAAGTTAAATGCCTCGTAGACGTCTAGAAAGCATTTTTTTTATTTTGTTGGTTTACAGATCCGCCGACCCGAATTTTCAAAAAAAAATAAAATAAAAAAAAATTGAAAATCTGTATTTTTTTTATTCCCGCCGACCTTTTCTCTAAGAAATATGAATAAAAAAATGTAAACTTGCACAAACAGTTTATAATAAAAGTAAAAATAATTACAAGTTGAGTTTTGTTTTCATTTAGTTTTCTTAAAATACTTTAATATCATGTATAAGAGTATCACTGTATTTTGACTTGTTTGATCTGAGAAACGACAAATTTTTTTTTTACCTTACCGAGTCAACAACAACAAAAATTCTGTAAACAAAAAACAAAACAAAAATGGCCTTAGAAGAAAATTGGTCTTGTCGTGTAGCTGTCACATTCCGTCAAATGGCGTAGCCATGGTGACCGGTTGGTCATTTTTGTGTTTGAAATGTGATCCGGCTACTTTGTAGAAATTCGCGTCATAGAGCTGGCAAAAGTTTCAAGCGGGGCATAGAGCATGGATCTGTAGTTATTTAACATAAATAAAGTGTATGTTGTGTATGCTGCGAAACAGTGTATTTTTAATTAATTTTTGTTCGATGCTCATTCAGGCCTGCTGCCTATGGACGCCTTCTACTGTTGTACACCACCTGTAGGAGTGTGATGCTGAATAACTGGCTTAGTGAATATCGTGAAAATGCTGGTTGTATCGTGTCTCTGACGTCATCAGTGACGACGTCAGCCACAGCTCACTACACGTGTATGCGGGCAATCAAAACTCTCTAAAAGTTCACGTATCGTTATATGGAGAAATGAGTATGTACAGCGGTGGCACATAGTGTTAGCCATCGAGTAAGGTTGACAATGAGAAATTGGTAACATTTTGCCTAAAACATGGAGAGTAGAATATAAGAACTAGAATATAAAAGAATACGAATAAAATACGTCAAAATAAAATAAAATATTGCCCATACACAATTTATTTACCGACTACACAAGTACTATACATCACATTGTAAATTGACAGACGCAAGCGATACAGTGCTACCTCTCACACGCGCAGAGGCAGGTAGAGCAGTTCCGAGGGTCTGCCGCACAGCTGGTCCTGATGTTGTGCACCCTCTGAATGCCCTGATTCACAGGAAGCCAATGTGACGGACGTGCCACACAAGGCGAACTGCGTCCAGGACAGGCCGCACCAGGGCAAAACCACAATTAGTTTAGCAGCCGACGGGTGTGAGCTCGAGGAATGCAATGTTCCACCTGCGTGAAACCCTCACAACGAAACCATGCTGCGCTTGCTGAGCGCTAAATTTCCGGTTCATCTCGGGGAACAGCGTTCTCGGTACTTCGGGTAGCCATCACTGCTTACGAAAGTGAGTCTACTTTCTTTTGCGTCTCTCTCCAAGCAATCTGCGATGCGATGGAGTGTTGGCTGGAGCCACTTGCGCGATTCAAACCACTGGCGTCACCTTCCCGACTAGTAATAGTAGGGCTTCTGCAGCAATGCATACTCGTGGCGCCCCCACAGCAATGCTCGCCGGATCTGTCTGCAGAATGTCACTGTTTGGCATAAGTTCCATTACCATGTGCCGCGGCTTGCATTCTCTCCTCGGCATCCATTCCTCTTCCATCCTCATCATGTGCCCGCTATGCGGTGTCTCACCCACATTCCTCCTCCTTCCTCGCGCTGCTTCTACGCCCCACTTCTCTACCCTCGGCTGAGCTACGACCTCCTTCTCTCCCATCACCGATGTTACGTCTCCTCTCCTTTCTCTCGCCTGCCCACAACGCAGTGTCCCGGCTATGTTTCCCCTCTCGCCCCTCGTCCATGCCACGTCCCACATCTCTCCCCTCCCCCGCATCTCGTCTTCTCTCCCTCCTGTCGCCTGCCCATGCCCCTCCATCCCGACTCCTCCCCCCGTCCCTTGCCTCGCCCGTCTTTAGCGCCCTTTCCCGGCTCTTACCCACCGCTCTCCCCTCGCTCATCCTCTGCACCCCATCCCTGCACCCTCTTCCTCCGTCCCTCCCCTCACCTTTTCTGGGTGCCTCATCCCGACTCCGTCCCTCCTCCCTCCCCTGCGGACGCGGCACATCGCTCGTCTTGCCGCGCCGCCGGCGCCCCGCGTCGTTGCCGGCAGCTGTGTCGCCTTCGCCGCGCGCCTCGCCCGCCACCTCGCGGCCGTACTTGCGCTCGATGACGCGCCGCTGGAAGGAGAGCTGCGGGAAGAGGCTGCCGCACTCGAGCAGCGCGTTGTTCGCCGCGTTCATCTCGGCTCGCTGGATGCTGTGGCCGACGCCCTTGCCGAGCCGCTGGCCGCGGAAGTAAACGGCGACCGTGTACGTGCGCGTGTTCGTCGGCCCGACGGCCTCGATCACCTGCGGGCGAAAAAAAACGGGAGGTGCTCATTTTATTCCGCGGGGGTCGTCAGCGCGCATTCTATTCAAACATTTAAAAAATATATTTTAAATAATTTAATTTTTAAATTGGAAAAGTTTTTTTGGGTTATTCTATTCGGATTTACGTCAACGTGGGCAGTGAATGCCATCATCTCGTCTGCGAGCGCGGGTTCGAAGTGGATGTGTGTGCTGCATGCGTTAGGCATATGTGTGCCAACTAACACAGATTATGGTTGTGTCTACATTTGGGTTGGGTATTATCTGTTCATCTTATATAAAACCTTCTGTAATACTGTGCAATTGTCCATGTTGTGCGTCGTGACCTGAAACACGAACTTCAGGACATTTCATGCTTAAACGGGTTCTCTGGAGGTTGTCTGAACCACTCTCTGAAGAATCACACTTTTCTTCATTACCATCAGCTACAAAGCTAGAAATCGTTCCCCCAAGTTAGCCCCATGATGGGAATTTGAGTCACAGCCAAAACCATGCTAAGAACCACTACATTAACGGTTAACCTGTGACAGATTCTGGCAGTGTTCGCCAACCAAGCGGCACACGCATGGGCACAGCGCGCCACCACATTCCCACACACGCTGCATCAACGCTCCTCGATCTGCTCGTACCTTGTATATGGGTATGTCCGGCTCACCACCATCCAGCGTACGCAGGGTGAGGCAGCACTGCTGCAGCTGCGACTTGGGGTCGTTCCAATCCTGTCTCATGATGAAGTCGCGCAGGCGCGGGAAGAAGCACACCTGGCAGAACTTTTCGCAGTACTCGAGACCCTTGTCAACATAGAGCGCGCCGAGAAATGCCTCCAGGAGGTCGGCCCTGCGCGCGCGGAAGCATGGCGTACATCTTAGATTTACACAACAACAGCAGCAACAACAACAGCAGCAGCAGCAACAACAATCAACAACACCAACAACAACAACAGCACCACCACCACCACCACCACCAACAACAACAACAACAACAACAACAACAACAACAACAACAACAACAACAACAACAACAACAACAGTACGACAGCGACTCAGACGTGAACACATTCACACTTTTCACGCACGCACACGCGCACGCAGACACGTACTACTCGCTCGACCACCCACCTATCCTTCGTCTTCAGCTCGCTCTTCGGATTGGTGCCGATCACGTAGCAGGTCATGCCGAGGTCATCGCAGACAGTCGCCTGTGTGCGGTTGTTGACTAGTGAACTGCGCAGCAGTGACAGGTGACCCTCGTGGTGGCGCGGGAAGTGCTTGTACAGGTACTCCGACGCAACCAGCTGCAGCACCGTGTCACCTGCAAACGCAAAACACCGTCGATACTAACACAGCAGTGCGGCACAACCAGCTGCAGCACCGTGTCACCTGCAAACGCAAAACACCGTCAATACTAACACAGCAGTGCTTGCGAAGACGTATTGCCTTCGGCTGTGGCGGGCTCTACTCTTCCACTGATTTCATGTGGGTGGATTAGAAGACGACTCTTCGTACCGCGAGAAAGATGTGTATCGAAGGAAATAAGCTTTTGAACTAAAAACTCGATCGAAGTAACCGAGTCTGTGTAGCTTCACAGACTACAGTTAACGTTCCCATCTACAAACCGATCCAGCATACTTCTGACCTGACCTGACCTAGCCTGACCACAAAATATGAGACGGGGCAGAGTGGAGCTAAAGTTGTTAATAAAATAAGGTCGCAGTCGAGACATAGTGAAGCTGAGAGGTGAGTACCTAGGAACTCCATGCGCTGGTTGTGACCCATAGTGAGGTTGTTGAAGCCAATGCTACGCATCGTGAACGACCTCGCCAGCAGGCGGATGTGGTTGAATGTAACGCCGATCGTTTCCTCAAACTCTGCAACGGTAAACAATACCAATAAAACACGAACCGGGAAAAACGTACGACGTACTGTCAATTTGCCTAGCAAATTTATTGCTCTAATTGCCTGCACGACAGAGGAGAATTTTTTCCTCTTAATTCGTTCGATTTTTCAAGCCAGCTACAGCTGGAGGTGAACGCATGATTCTTGGACTAGCACTGACACTCAGCAGTTACTTCCTAGGCATAAACGTCAGGAACTCGATTCGAGAGAAAGCAGACGCGATCGATTGACGCAAGTGAAATAGAAATTCGTATAAAATACGGATAAATCGTAGTGGTTGCAAGGCATCTCTGCGGTGACGCGATCGATTGACGCGGTGACGCACAGCAGCTCACCGGTGTACTTCTGCAGAGCGCAGACGGATTTGATCCAGTGTCGGTCGCCGCCCGGCTCCTGCTGCTGCAGCGGGTGTGGACTCACATTGCACCAGACGTCCAGCAGCTGTGAATCGTGGTCGTGCAGCGTTCGCGCGAACACCGTGTCGGCCGTGTCGACGCCGCCGTCATCGATGAGCAACGCCCCTAGATGAAGGCAGCCATGTTCACGTGCGTCTCGCGTTAACAAATCAGCTCAAGCTTCTACGTAATCGATTTTCTTTTGACTAGTTTTTAATCGATTTACTCTATATAGGAGGTAGCACTCAAGTAGGACACCAGTAAATAATAGTTAAAACATTCTCCGGAATCGACCAGATTGAGGTATTCATATTTATGTCATAGTATGTATCACAATATTATTTATTTTATTATTTCGTATAGAGGTATTTTCATTTTTCCCTTTCCTTCTCGTTCTCGTTTTCCCCGTAATTTTCTCATCGTTACAGAATTAATCGACGTAACTGTGGTCATTGTTAACCAATCGTATTCCTTATCTATTCCACGTGATGCGCACATCACAATTATTATTGCTTGGACTTGTATAATTTATAGTATGTAACTATAAGACTAAACATTTATTAATAATGACTTTGCCGATATCAGTGGCGTATCCAGCATAAGGCAGAGCCGGCGTACGCCCCCCCCCCACCATTTGCAGGCCCAGAAAAAAAAATCATGAAGTGTTTAAAATCCTAAATTGTAGGGTTAAGTCTAGAGTTGAGATAGTGTCATCAGACATCAGAATATGGCCCACAGTATGCCTCAGATGGCAGGAAAATGGCTTAAATATTTCAAAATTTCCTGGGGGAGCATGCCCTCATACCCCCCTAGCTCTGGCGTGCCTACGGTGGCGTGCCTACGGCACGCGGGCAGCCCAGGTACATTTCGCCCCCCTGTTAATCCATTTCTGGATACGCCACTGCGATATTAACATGGTGATATCCTCACAACTACCTGCACCTTCCCGAACCTACTAAACAATGTTGGTCACTGCAACCGCATTGTATGGGTTCCTGCAGCTCACACTGCACAATGCAGCGTGGATACCTACCCATGAGAGCTTCAAAGCAGTTTGCCATCGCATGTCTCAGATCTGATTCATGGCACAGGTCTGGGCCGTGTGCGTAGAGCATGAACTCGTCCAGGTGGAGTTTCTATACACAACACGACCACGTAAGCAATACATCACAAAGCATTAGAGGAAACCTGACCTTCCCCCCCCCCCTGACTCACTCAGAACTATTGCCATGCATCGCGATCCATATGACGACGATACAAGAGGGTACGATATGTTTCACGATAACCTGGCTATGATACGATACATTAAACAATATTTAGGCAAAAATACCATATGCATAACGATATTTACACAGCCTCATTATATGTGACTGACTCTCAATTCGTACAGATAGTCATATTCTTATTATCATTGTCAGATTATATTATCTTGTTAATTTTATCTATTTAATTTTTGGAGGGCAGCATGTGGATGAGAAAGCTAGCACGATTCCCTATACCCAACACGTACTTTTGCAAGCACGGCAAGGTGCTGGTTCTGTACTAGCGCCGCACGGTAGGTGGCCAAGCCTCCCTCCTCCAGGTCCGGAAACATGAAGTACAAGTGTATGCTGCGTGAAAAAAAGAGCATCGAACCGGAGTTCAAGAGTTCATATTTTCTATGGTAAAATTTGTAAAATTTTTGTTGCCATTTTTTTACATTAAAAGTAAGTACTAACATACTCGTCAAATTCTTACCTGATAAGATTGTTTCTCAACTAGTTAAAAATCCAAAAAACCTGGACGATTTGATATTATGTTCCTGACATTAATTGCTTGCTATGGGCTATGTATGAGTCACGAGTGTATGTTCACATCAAACAATATAGTAAAATAGGCAATTTAATCATAAAAAGTGAACAGAATTACTTATATTTTGTGAAAAAATGGAAATATTTTTTTTATTTTTACTATTTACGGTGAAGTAATCACTTTAACACATTACTAATACTAACATCTAGATCCGAATGTAAACCTTGAAACTAGGCCACAGACATGTGCCTACCTAGTCAGAAATTCAACGACGGCATCGCCCAGGTATTCCAGTCTCTCGTTGTGGTTGATTGCTGACATCGTCTCCTCCTTGTGACCCATGCGTGACATGATTCGGATGAGCGTGTTGATGCCTGCCAGGCAGAGTGAGAAATGATCTCATGCAGGAGCCGAGAGAAACAATGGTCCTCTCCCTCAGGAGATTCACATAAGAATTGCAAGTAAAGCAGGTAAATTGAGCTTGCCACATAAAATGGCCGAGCAGTGATGAGCTGTGATAGTAAGACAAAACGAGTAATAACCATTGGTCTCATCTAGTCCACTTACACCCAAAATTAATATCTTTATCATTGATTAGCAGAATCTTGTATCACTTTAATGATATGATAAGTAGAACACACCCAAGACACACACACGTACGTGCGCACATGCATGCACAAACACACACATAGAAATACAACACAAAAACGATGAATAAATATGAAAGCACCTAAACTAGAGACCGAAGCTGTGTGTGAATTAGGTGGCACCTGCACTTAATGGTGATTTTGCTAAACTTTTCTAACCCCTTTTTCGATGTGTGGCATCGTGAAGTCTCTTGTCCCCATACTCCGGCGTGCGTATGCCACAGTTCGTGAGAGAATTACGAGCGTGGTCAGGGTTAGTGCCGAAATTCACTCTGTAGGATGGATGCGTCAAAGCAAGCTGAAAGTGCAACAACCACACTGGTTAGTTTACCGTGCGTCTTACTTAACTTGGGTATACAGCGTTACAACACATATTATTCCAAATGGATGTGACCTTACAAAATGGTGGTCCTAGAAATGAATAAGATGATACAGCTATAACCACTACCACCCTTAACCATCGCTAGCACACACCTGGAGAAGTAGTTTGTTCTTAAATGAGTATTGGATTGTCTTCTCCAGCTCTCTCAGTGATCTGTGAAAGCGCAGGTGACACACCAAGACCGGTAGCAGCATGGCATGCTGCAAAACGAATAAGGCGATAAAGCATCAAAGAATGCTCCTACCGTAACGTGGCTGCATTGCCAGCGCCCACATCCAAGCATCAACAAACTCCCCTCTCCAGCATCCAGGACGAGTACTGCTGAGTTGTTATGGTCTACCATATTCGTTTCCTACAGCCATTAAACTTGAACTACTAAGACCGTTTTGTAAACTACTTAGAAAGGATGCAAACAACCCTGATCCGTATCGTACTGAGTAGATATGTGATATTGATACATTTCTTTACGTGATTTCGATTATTTTGTTCTATTCCAATTTAATGTTCACTCTCTATAGCACTTCTAGGTAAGACATATACAACAGAGCAATACTACAGAAACATCTCCACAATGTTCGTTGGCTGGTGATCCATCGAAGAAGAGTGAAACTGCATTTGATCATACATGAATCGAAATGGTGTTGGGGTTCTGGGATAGAACAGGTCTATACATACAAGCACAATATCGGACTTGAGGCCTGTCCGGTAGAAGCCTTGACTGCTCACAGCAACAGTCACATCGCGTTTCAGACTGCTCTTTGTTCTCAGCTCCTACAATAGATTGTATAGAAAAACAATGTTGTTTACTATCTACACTCTACAAGCACTTGACTGTCAATATACTATGTTTATCAAGTTAAAGGATGACAATATCATGACTGTATCAAGTTGTATGATATCTACATGACATCATGAGTTCGTGTAAATGATTGACACAAACACACACACATGCATGCACACACATGCACACACGCATGTACTCAACATAATAATGAACGTTACCTGTAAGTACATCTCTTGGCTGTGTAATTTCTGCTTGTCCTGCGGTGTAACTTTAGGCTTGTTAGCCAACAAATGACGAAATTTTACATAGTATTTCCATGCCTTCTGGTACCTGTTTGATATTCAAGAAAATGTGTCAATACTTTAAAGGTTGTAGTTTCCTCAGAGACAATTCTACAAATGTTCTACATGCAAATGACAGCCACACATGGTTAGGAAAACACTGTTGCTTATCATGAACCTGCTTTCCTAACAATGTGGGACAACAGCATGAATTTGAAATTAGGAATTTCATGTAACAAAATATTTGCGACTCTCTATCGTTTCTATAAGTCCTTGCTCAGATAATGCCATAGATCAAAGTAGGTGCTAATAAAATTCTATGTTGAGGGTGAAGTGAATACTTGATATGGGCAAATTAGTTGAAAATGCACACTAACTTGGGATCGCCGGCATAGCTGATCTGAGCTGGACGGATGCCAAAATGCACAATCTGTGGATAGCTGATGACATCATCACGAATCTGATCCCTATCCAGTTGGTCAATCCGTAATGAACATGGCTTCTGCAGAAGATGGTAATGGAATCACAGTCAGATTACTTCATATGACAGCTAGGACGTAGATGCAACAAGTCATCACCTGATCTGACATGAATTTTATTTGGATTTTTGATGCATTAGAATTACAGTCAGCTTTTTGATGGCATATTTATAAAACAAAATGTACAAAATGCAGTATGCAAAGCCTGGATATCAAATCTGCTCACCATGCCAGGATATGTAACAATCATGCCTTTAGTTTCATCTGCAAAGTTTTGCCAGTCACACTGTGAGATTTTCAACAGTGATGCTAATTCCGTTTCTTCCACTAGAGGGCGTGAGCTCTTCAGCAGATACTGAAGAACTTCGTTCATCGAAAGAATTTCTTTTCCATTATCTAAAAGAAAAAAAAAGTACTTTAAAATAAAAAAAATTTGTAAATCACTTACATACATTTATAAGACCAAAAAATACTCACGAAATTAATATATAAATGTTAGACTGGTATATGTATAGTTTATATATGTATAAATTACTGTGAGATTTAGACATTTTCAGAAAAACTACTTTTGGAGATATATAGAGTTCCTACTTAAAGCCGCACAATGCGCATCCAAACGCTAATTTCTCCAGTACTAGACTAGCAAATACTTCGTGTCATGCATAATCACACTACCTTATGACAAAATAAACTCTAGTTCCTCCCATTTGACTGCGCGTTCCCAACAAGAAAGAGGTGCGAAATCAGGTAATCAGGCGCCAACGCTAAATTGTTTCAAACAACATAACATCGACTTGGTTTGGTGACGTCACATGTTTCTATCTTTGCTG